GAGAAATATATGATTTTTATTTTTGTTCGTTCATTTCTTGTTAAATTTGTTCCGGATTTTGCATAATTTTCATTTCGAGATGGTTGATGAGAAGTATTGTGGAGTGTGTGAGATGAGGTGGAATACGGGCGAAGGGAAGGGAGGAGGGGGGAGCTGTATTAATTGGCTGACAAGCTGTACCCGGACTAGCTAAGGACAGGCCGTACAGGTCATAATCGGACCAGTTAAGGCCAAACCGGAAAAAAACAGAAGCAGTAAGCCTTCCGTTTTACGTACTCCAGCGTTATTAACGCTACGTGCATATGAGGGATCGATTTTCGACTCCTTCATTGGAAAAAAAGCCAACTGCCCTCGGCCTTTCGTTTGATTAGCTAACTGATACCGCATCGACACATGCTATGAAGAGGTTTTTGATTTTTTCCATATTTTAGGTACTTGCGAAGCCGGAACTCCCGGTTGATTCGACGCTTGGACGACGAATGATGGATATTGTGAATACGGCAGCAGCGCATATGTCAGAGGAAAAATTAGATTTTATAGTTAAAAACAGCTTAAGGGTGAGTCTTTTCCCTCAAAATTACTGAAGTCTTTTTTCTAGTAATTTTTCTTGGGTACTTTTATTTTGTCAGAATTCAAAACTAATATATGCTAGCGCGGCAACCTCCCTTCGAGAGCTGAGAATTTAGTCCGTCCTAGGATAGCCGTTTGATCCGTCCTAGGGTAGCCAGTGCTTTTGCATTTTTATGATAAATGAAAAGGAAGGGAGGGAGAAGAGGGCATGGGTTATTAATTTAGCAGCTGATTTGTCAGCGATTCTGCGCCAGGGACATAGAAATCTCCTAGATGATCAATGCGTGGATCCCACGTTAGTGATATTACTGGAATGCTCCGATATTCATAGGTAACTATGCCTGGTCCTTCAATCCTGAACCGCTTTCCTTCAGTTAGTACCCATCGCCTGTTCGATGTATGTACGCGAGTTTCTGAGGCTACCGGAATGAATGTTTTTTTTTATCGAAACAGTTACTATATTCATTTTTTTCAGGATTATATGATGATTTCATATCTGGCAAGTTTGACGAAGACGCAGTTGGCACTGCATGAACATTTAGTCGCTCTATAGTGATGAATTGTTAACTAATTTCTGTTTTCTGAGGACTACTTCAACCTCAGCTTTTTTTTTTTTTGAACGAATTTTGCCCTTCCTCGGCTAATTTTCTGACTTTTAATTAATTTTCCGTTTTTTTTTCCCATCCACATTTTTCCTGCGCACGTTCTGAACCAGGCAGCAGTAAAGGAAAAGACAACAAAGCAACACAAAGAAAAGTAAATTAAAGCAAACCCGAGCCTATGAATAAAAGCAAAAAAAAGCAAAGTAGAAAAATTCTGAGCCTATGGATAAAAACAAAAAAACAGAGTGCAGCTTACAACTTTTCCTTTTATTTTTCTGATAGTACATTGCCTGGTGGTTAGCCTTCTGGCGAGCTTGACCTTCAGTTCGCTCCCACAAGTTTGGGCTATTAAACTAGCACATGGCAGATAAATTTAGCACTTATGGATCTGTCCTTTTTCACTCTTTCTTGCGCTTT